GAGCTCAATCATCGTAGGTTGCATCCTGCTGGCACTACTCTGTGTGAGTATAATAATCTATATTTATCTGCAAATCCAATAATTCTGTATTTTCTATTCTAATATTATGCTATATGTTTGCGCGTTTGATATGATGCGACGCATCGGAAAGCACATAAATGCTACGTAAATATTCGCCCATCTCAGAAGTTTTGTGGAAGTTTGGCGGTATACTCAAAACGTATAATGGCATAGCAATATTTTTTTCCTCACACTAGCTATACATATGCCGAAGGAATATGACAAGTTCGTACGGGGATTCATAGTACAGTAAACACGGTTATAGAGTTATACGGTTTATACGGATTATTAAGGGGGAGTGAGTAGGGTATTGATAGTGTGCATTGACGTTAAGGATAAACTTTTGTGAGACTTTAACGAGAGCCGCCCCAATGCAGCTAGATTAACAATCCCGTTTCAACGGCGTGGGATACACTCGTCTACGCAGGTCGCATCGGCACAGCTAGACAGCCGTGTCACCTACCGGCAAGCAATCTGTGAAAGGTCTTCCGGCAACATTTGCTGCCCCGGCGACACCCGGATCCGAATTTTGTCCGCGGCGTACGGCCGGCAGCCGGGTTCGGTCGGTCTCTGTCCTGGAGCCAACACAGATACAAATTACTGCGTTCGGTTCAACAAAGTCTCCAGTTACGTCTCCTACTGCAGTGGCCAGGAGTGCTGCACCATCCATGCTACTAACGATGGCCTTGGCGGTGATCCCTGCTACGGCACGCAAAAGTACGCCATCGTCACCTGGACCTGCAGTTAGAGAGGAACTACAGACTGGCAGTTTTCTTCTAAGAAGACTAGAGCGACTATCTCACTATATGCAGTACTAATTTGCACACACAAAAACTGTGGCGATACAGTTGTATGATTTTCTTTATATTACAGTCGTTTATAGTTCAATTGTATCACTAACCCTATATTTTGTCACTTCGTTCGAAGTAAACAAACACTCGGGATTTCACTGGGGGAGCACTATTGGTGCAAGCATTCAAAAATATCAATAATCAACTAAATTAAATCTTTCGGATTTGTCTTGTACTAAAGTTATCATTTTTTGACAAATGTACTCGTTGTGAAAAGGCGATGCCTTACATTTAGAGAGAGAGATGGGATAGACAGTTATGCTTTCTTAATTTTCACGTGGCAGACTCTGTGCAAATGTATTATTTCCTCACTAGCTTTTATTTTTAGCAAGATAACTAGAGCATATACCATATTCTATATGCTTCAATTCGCTTTGAGTCGCCGGGTATTCTTACAATGCCGGGTATGAATTACAATCGCATTTCAATTAAATATTACTTTTTTAGCATGCACATCGCATCCATTCTAGTTTTTTTTTCTTATTAGAGAAAATATACAGATCATGAAGAAGAAGAAGACCTAGTAAATACCTCACGCTACAGACAGAACATGACTAGACACACACAACAGCACACATCATCACACACATCACACACACATCATCAGCCACACAGCACACACAACACACACAACCACCACGGCAACAGGTCACACTACCGACTGATACACATCATACACACATATCACAGCAATCAGACATCAAAACCCACTTATCACACACACATGCTTATTACACACACGCATTCACACACACACACATCACACACACACATCACACACGGTTGCTGATTTGTCGCGCGCAGCACACATCAGTTGACGGACACACACACACACACACACCGGGGCGAGCGCACACACACCAGCACACACACACACACCACAGCACACACACGGGGGCACGCACGCGACGCACACAGCCTACACACAGGCATCACACACAAACCACACACACAGGGCACACACTGGCAAGCACACACAACCCACAACCCACACACACAGCGAGGCACACACACACCACACCACACACACATCACACACACATCACCCACACACACACTACCACAACACCCCGACCCACGCACGCACACAAGCGGCCCACACACCACACACAAGACCAGCACACACACAGCAGAGAGGGCACAGGCAAGCACGAGCACACACACACACGGCTTCACCACACGACACACACGACCGGGACGACAGACGGGACAGTATACAGGAAGTAATAGTAGGGAATCACTACTTCTACTTCTGACATATATATAGCTAAAATTACCACTGTGGTTATATGGAAACATGCGTTTTTACTCGAAAGGTGTCGCCACTATTTCGCGAGTGCCTACCATAGTCTAATGGCCTAGTCACACATACGTGACGCACGGCCCGCGCATTAAAAATTAATCAAAAAATGGAAAATAAGATCAGTGCGTCGTTGTGCGCCCAACTTTTGTCAGGATTTGGGAGAAGCTAGCGAGTCGACAACGAATGCACAGCGTGTTGCTAGCGCGCTGCGCGTATACAGGGCGCATACAGAGCGTATACGAATGCACAGCGTGTTGCTAGCACACGGAACGAATGGTCCGCGCATGCACCGCGCATTCAACGCACAGCCAGCGAAGGTCTGAGGTGGTTCTTCTAGACACGATCAGCAGGAACCTTTTGTCATCACCCATGAGGGTCGGAGGAGAAGTGATGATGAGCAGGTGGGGCGGGACCCGTTTATGTACCCATGGCTACACGCTGCGTATACGCTAGGAACACGCTAGAGGAACGCTGGGCGCGCTACAGACTCGTTCAGCACTCGTTCAGCACGCCCATATTCGCTGCATGTTCGCTGGACATGCGTTAGAAGCACGCTAGGTGTGCGCGAGGTGTGCACTAGGTGTTCGCTACACCTCAGCCGACGAACATACAACGAATACCCAGCGTGTGCTCCGCATGTGTCTGGCGTTGGTCCAGCGCGCTCTGCGCGTGTCTGCCGTCCTTCTGGCGTGTATATTATTTATGCGTCGAGCTCCGCGCACATTTTTGTGCATGCTCAAAAATCCCGACGCACACAGCGAATGACAACGAATCAACTTGAACGAATGCAAAGCGTTGGTCCAGCGCGCTCGACGAACGAGTAACGAATGCTGACGCACACCCAGCGAAAGACAACGCACTGGCCATAAATTGATAATTTTTCAGTGCGCGGGCCGTGCGTCGTGTATGTGTGACTGGCGCAACAGATAGTACTGAATAGTCGGTGTGCCTACTTTTCTAATCCAACTAGCCGGGTACCCGGCGTTGCTTGGGGGAAAAACGCGTAGAAACCACTTTTAGAGCAAATTCAGCCACATACATTTACTTGATTCTAAGAATAGATTCGTAACAGAGAAACAAACAATATTCAGACAAAAACGGTTCTAACGATTCAATGATTCTGTGTAGTAAAAGTTTCTGGATATACAGCACAAAGGAATTGCGCCAAGTTATCATGAATACTGCGTATTATATATTGAGCATCCAATTGGTATCTAGGTACCTAGGTATCTGTGTCCGTAGGTACATAGGGGGGGGGCAATGTCTTGGGTAGCTGCAAAGTTAAAAATTACACGAAGGACATGTATTTTAAAGTGAAAATATTTTGAGTGCAGATATGGCGTACTACTTATTAGGCGAAATGTAGGAGTTGTCCCTGTCGTGAAATGTCATGTAAGTGTCGCAGGCAGCAGCTATGTACCCATTTCACCCCGGCCCCTACACTAACCCCTGCACTGTCCCCGTGCACCCACTCCCACTATTTTAAGAAGAAGCGACCACTGTCTTTTGTTTTGATGAGGGCATTTTAGACTGAAGGTGAGACTGTACCACTGAACTATAACAATATAGAAGAATCGATCGCCGTGCGAATGGGGTTAGCCGCTAGAAAGAGTTGCCGCAGGAGGGCAGCACATCTGCAGAGGTGAAGATTATCCGCGTAACCATATGCACACCCGGGATAAAGTGGGGGAAGTGGGTGTTTATTCTTTTGTATGTGCTGAGGAGTTATGTAATATGTTTATTGAGATTCATGTATGTATGTAGGTACATGTATGACCTGCAGAAGAGCCCCTACCGTCGTACACCACCTATATTCGCGCTGACAATATATATGCGTGGGTGGGTGTGCACGTCCACGTGTGTCTCATTTGATTGCTTCGCTTCGATTGCTTCACTTGTGTACGTACGGATTGCTCCCTTTTACAAACTCAGCTACAACTTTATCAAAATGCCGTTTTGCGCGGCTGTCAACTGCAGGAATCGCTTGAAGAAGGGATGTGGAAAGACTTAATTAATTTCCACAGGTAAGTGTATTTAACTTTGTGTAGAAAACAAGTGAAAGTAAATTTCTGTGAAAACCCTAACGTTAAATTGTACTTGGCTGTCTTGCACCGAAGATGTAGCCCCACGTATTCGATATGCTGTTGGCAATAGTGATTGCAATTGTAGGGTAGCATCAACAAGGTGTTTAAAGGTCAAGTCACCGTGGTGTTTTCAAAGTATATGCCTATCAACTGTAATTGGATAAAATCATATTTGACTGATGTTCGTGTGTGTTTCATTATGGAAAATTTAAAGTCTACCCAGCTAACCAGTTGACGTTGTGGCAACGTTGTCACAACGTTTTACTTACGTTGTGAAAACGTTGTGATACGACATTGTGGCAACGTAAATTTGTAGACTCCCCTGAACGTGGCCACAACGTTGTGGAATAACGTTGTAATGTAACATTCTTGCAACCATGTGTACACGTTTAAATATAATGTCAAGTATGCACTTGGCTGAATACACTGCATGCGTATATTGTACACTTGTTCATTCTAATAATACGACCATGCATTCAATCACAAACTGGTTATATTGCTCTGAGAGGAGTACTAGGTAATTGTAGTAAGTGACTAAGTCTTGTTATTATAAGACTAACACTTGATGGGTGTCAAACTTAAAATCTATGAAAGCTGCAGTCGGCTTGACAATAGTGTAAGACAATAACCATATGCTACAGTTGTGATACGTGTGCAACTATATAGCTACGGGGATCGAGTGTGAATTCACAAGAACATAATTCAAATTTTGACTTGCTCTATTAGAGTATTGGAATATACACATATTTACATGTACAATTGTACATATTTACATATGCCAGAAATCAGCAGCTCTGATCACCTACTAATCAACATGTATGTAATGCTGCCAGGAAGGCAACCGTTGAGTCCTGCTGATCTATTATAATAGCCTTCGTAACGGGAAACTGGCGAAATGGGAAACCGGCGAAGTGGGAAACTGGCGAAATGGGAAACCGGCGAAGTGGGAAACTGGCGAAACGGGAAATGGCAAAATGGCAAATGGCGAAGTGGGAATTTTTTTATGGCGAAGTGGGAAATTGCGAAATGGGAATAAACCGTTGAAATTAGCCATCTACCTAAGCACATATTCACGAGTCGTTTGAAAAATGGCAAATCTCTACGACAAATGCCTGCCTTTCTTAATTATCACGTGTCCAGATTCCTGAACTTTCATATACTGTAGCATGCCAAAATAAGCACTATTTTGTGTTATTAAAACATTTAAAGTAGAGACCACATACTTGCGAGTAGTTTGACAATGTAAAATGTCTATTCTATTACCTTCATATAAAGATCTCATGATTTATTTATTTATTAAATCTTTTATCAATTTAATGACGGTACATTGGTAAAATATACAACATGCGTCTCCGTCCCTGAACATTACTACGCAACGTTTTACGTGCGGTAGTGCACTTCGTAACCCAGAATGTTACTAGAACGTATTCACGAACGCTATTTACGTAACCAAACCGGCACATTTCCGGAACATATAGCTGCGCAATATTTCACGTGCGGTAGTGTGCCACGTTCTAGGAATCTTAATTGTTACATAATGATACCGTTCTCAAAATGACTTTGATTGTAATGATAGTGTGCCACGTTCTAGAAATCTTAATTGTTACATAATGATACCGTTCTCAAAATGACTTTGATTGTAATGATAGTGTACCACGTTCCTCGAACGATCATGATTGTGTTTACGCAATCGAACGACAACATCCCAGGAACCTTACGGGAACGTTACTTGTTAGCCGGACGCCCCAATTATTATACTGGATCATTATATTATAATAATGAGGTAGGGCCGGGGGTCCAGCATGAGGACCCAAACGGCTATAATACTTGATTTTTCTAGAACGTGGCGAAAAGTATTTTAGTTGATTTAAAATAAAGTGTGCGTAAAGAAATATATAGTGAAAATGAATTGCAATACTATAGTATATATTCTGTCTGTGAAAAATCTGTAGGTGGTATTGTAGTGGCCCTAGGGGTAGCCGCTACGCGAATTATGTGCGTTTTGAATGCACGATTATTTTTTGGAATCAGTTCTTGCTCCCGGTGGCAAAGCGGGACTGTGTTG